GTATACAGGTTACTTTTTCCCTCTCCTCTTTTCCATTTTCCATTAACCTTATTTAACCAGCAGACCGTATTACTCTGTTGAAGTTTTACGTTGAGCCCCACTGGCTGCTGGAAGCTGTGTTGCAGCAGAAGAGCAGTGCTGGGAAGCAACAAGGGGCCAAATGGTTCAGCAAGATTTTCACCAAGAGAGGAGTAAGGAGGGACTGTAGGGCAGGAGGGCTTTTGGGAGCAACCCCTATGGGAAGTGAGCACAGGTCCCTGACCAGACAAGTCACTGCTGAGTCAGGAGAGCTCCTGTGGTGTGTCTGGCTGAGATAGTCAGGAAAATGATCACTGCAAGGAAAGACTTGAGATTGGGAAAAATGAGGAAGAGCAAAGCTTCCAAAAGTGGATAAAGTGAGATGTGAACTGAAGCTATTGTCTTCACTGTACCGAATTATTCTCATGTATGTATGATTTAAATAATGAATAAAATTTTATTTGTTTATGTATTTATTTTCCTCTGGTAAAAAGCAGAGGGCAGGAAACTCATAAGCCGAGTATTTACTTAATCATGTTGTCTCAAAGGATAAAACCAAAAAATTAATTTAGTATTGTTAATTTATTGTTTTATCCCATTTTGAAACTATTTTTGTCCTTCCTTTTGCCTGTGTATCTTAATGATATTTGTCAAACATTTAAAGGTTATAGATGAAATCCTGAAACCTTTGAAGAAACAATAATTTCGCTGTTGGCTTCTATGGAGTTTTTTTCTACCCTGTAACAGTAGGAGGGATCCTGATTTGACTTTGATCAGTGCTCTGTTACAGAAATAGGCTAATAAGCATTCATATTGGAAGTTGAAATCCTTAGCAGAATGGCTTCATCAGAACAGTAATAAATAAGTCTTACTGTCTTTTTTTTTTGTAGAGGATTTCACTCCAGTTCCATCTAAGGCTTCACCACCTCCAAACCCAGAAAAAACGTTTCCTCCATATACTGGGTTTGGTTCTGAAGAGGATTCTCTGTGCTCCTGTATGGGTCTGCTTCCCAAGCCTCCCCAGAAAGATTTCAAGAAATTCATGGAGAAAGACAGGTATTTCAGTGAAAAATAATTCCAACTTTTAAAATTAGGTCTTTTTGTGAAGGAGATAAATATTCAGTAGGGATGTAATTTTTTCAGCAAAATATGCAGCTCATCAGACTCTTAAGAGACAGGTGCATGAGGACTGGTTTAGTGACATGGTACGCCAATTTTCTCTGAACTCGGCAAAATTTATCTTTTGAGAAGGCAGATACTCTGACCCTCCCATCCCCTACCTTCTTCCCTTCTGCTGTCTTCAGTGGGAGTTTGATGGAAGTCTTAGTCCAGGAATTAGCCAGGAATTTTGTGTCCTTCAGCAATCCAACACCAATTTGTTTTTCTGTTTGATTTTCTAGCATTTACTTTTTTTTTTTTGTCTGCTGAATTTCATACACTTTACTGTAGCAATATTAAGGCATTAACACTTTACTTTGCATTGTGGAATGGTTTGTCAGGCAGCAGTTGTTGAAGCCTAAGTGGAAAGCAAAATCACATGCTGGAGATTCATCTGTAGAACCTCTGTAAAAGAAGCAAGCTATTAGAAAAAGGCTTGGAAATGTATTGATAGTGCATATAGGGGTACTGTAAATCATTTAAAAATCACTTAACAAACATCCAACTAGTAAGATCATCTGGTGGGCCTGATTTTGTGGAGATAATCCTAGTATGTATTGCTAATCAGAATTTGATTTGAAAATCTACATACCTACATGTGTTCTTCCTTTATAAATTTTCTGGAAAGAAACTTGGAGCTTGATTTGCAATTGAATTTGAATACAAATTCATTCCAGACCTGGTGCAGGGAAGTAATTCTCCCCTGAAAACTATTCCTTTCTGTCTGGCTGTCTCTAGCTGGTTCTGTTAATTTAAGCTGAAAATGGTTTTTGACAAAGTAGGGAAACTTAGGCCATTTCCCTTCTTGGTCCAGGAATAACACAGTTAATGAATGTTACAAAACTCAGGAGAATGCATCTCAGTGATGAAAACGTTTCTCATTCTCCATTTTTGATTTCTTGCCTCTTCTTTTGCTTTTTAGAAGTGGCATGGAAAGTAACATACTGCGCTTTCTTGCAAAACTTGTCACAGATAGTCCTATTGACAAGGATCGGAAATTCATTATTTCCTACTTCCTGAGTGATGACACCATTTCGATTTTTGAACATATACAGCGAAACTCAGGTAAGATACAGGAGTGTCATTTGCAATCATGTGCAGTTGCCCTGCTCGTTTGATTAGAGTTTACACTAAGCGTTGTGGCCAGACTCAGCACTAGCAGAAGCAGGGATGTGGATTTTTAAAAGCAATGGAAATTACATCAGCAGGTCTACTGCATTATCTTGCATAGCTGTATGCCATAGTAATTTATAATCTTTGTCACTCAGAATAACACTGTTCATTGTATGAAAGTACTTCACAATATCCTTTGGGAACTGGAATTTTAATGCGTTAGAACTTTTATTACATTTTAATTTGCAGATTTGGCCTTTTACCATTTGCTTTTGTTGTGGATAACACACAGGAATTGTATTGTAACCGATGATAAATAGGGACAGGAAATGTAAGACCTCAAGAATGAAAGAGTAAATCCTTTGTTTTGCAAGACTGTGTTATGAAACCTATATAGCATCCTTTGTGTGGAAGCGGCTCATGACAGCAGAACAGCTGTGATATTTTTTAACATGCTTTATCATTAATCGTGTAGTGTTGAGCGTATAAAGAGTGAAGATTGCCCTGTGCTGGTGTCTGTACGTGTGCGTGTGTATAATACTGGCCTGAATTTCAAGAGCCAGACTACCAGTGTTTTAAGTGACAAATGCTTTGTTACTTCTCAGTTGCCTGATCACATTTATCCTATTGCTGGAGCATGGTCACCCAGTGTTGTCATGGTTAAATTCTTTTGACCACTGTTGTCTGTAGTAGGCTGCCTCCAGCTGAGGATATGAAAGGTTTTGTGATTTTTCAAGCATCTTTTTATTTCCTTGGAGTGCCTTGTGCACGGATGGAAGGACGCAGCACTGGGAAGGATGTCAGGAAGTCATTCTGTAACTCAGGGAGATAGGGAAGCCTTGGCTAAGCATGACCCTGTTGGAGAGATTAGTGTGTTTCTGTGAAGCCCGCAAAACATCTGCCACAACAGTTTCAGAGCAGCTAACATCCAGAAGTGCTCTGGCATCTCTCAACATGTGCAGCCGAAGGACTGACTCTTAAAAGCTGCTGACAGCCTCTGATAAAACCATAGCGAGAAAAAAGTTAGGAAATTACATTCTCTCAAAGACAAGGGAAAAAAAGTAACAGAAGGTTTCCTTAGTTACCATGATAGGCTCTTGTGGAACCTCATGAATAGCTCTTTTGATACTGCTGGAATTGCCCTATATCAGCTTCTTGGCACAGAGCACCTCAGTGTGGTGTTCCAGGTACACCCCGCAATGGTGACCAGCTCGCTGTGCTCTGTACTGACCTATCTGGTACTCCCAGCTCACTGTCTGCAGCAAAGACTGTCCTAGGGAGGACTATTCATTCCCCTTGGCTTCAGGCTCTGGTGCCAGTGGTTGACTCCCTGAGATTCAGTTATTCAGCTTAACAGTTAAGGACTAAGTGTTGTTGCGACCCTACGCTTCAGCCTTTACTGAAAATAATTTCTGATGTTAATCCTTTTCAGACCTATGATCAACATCACATCCATAAAAAATGAAGGTGTGGTGAATAACTAGACCCTTCTGTATTCCTAGAGAACCCTTTCTGTGCTAGTGATGCTAAGTAATTTTGAATGCCCTGCATGTGAGTAGGTTTTTGGGAAGGCCTGGGCCTTTTTTTTAATCTGACTATATTATGAATGCATAAATAGTGACCTCACCTCCAACTAAAGTACAAGCAGTTCTCTGAGAAATGTTTTGAAAATGTGTAGAGTGCCTGCCCAGCCTTCAATGGGCATGCCCGGTTGGCCCTGCTCCACCGCAACATCAGTATTTAGCACTGCTTATGGCAGCAGTGTCCTGTCATCATTGTTTTCCTAGTTTCCTGCCATCCAGCAGCCTGTAATTTATGCAACGTCTTTTATTACAGCTAAAGACACGTACACCTATGTATATATTTATTATGTCATGCAACTGTGACGCTCAAGAGCAGCTCAGTTCTCCACTAGTGAATGACATGTTTGATTGGCATTCTTTATGTCCAGAGACATAAAGGATGCTAAGGGTACAGCTGCACTGTTAAAGAAGTCCAGGGAACAGCTTGAATCTTGGACCCCAATCATACGTATTGCCTGTTTGGTCACCTTGGATTCTCCTTTGCACCATTCCAACTAGACAAGGTCCCAGAGAGCCTGGGCCCCCTCCTGGAGGATCCTTAACTCTAGGAAACTCTCCTGCAAGGCAGTAAGGACAAGGCTGCACCAGGTTTGGCTTGCTCCACCCTTACCAGTCGTCTAACGCTACTATCCCAGGAGGTTTTGCACACTCAAAAATTCGGGTCCTTCTACCACGCCCAGGGACTGCAATCCATACCCTCGGTTTTATGCGGTAAAACACCACTCTGTTGGACTGCAGCACCGCCCTCACATATCTTCAAGCAGTTTGAACACACAAAAATAATATCTGTGTCTTGAGAGCTCAGATTTATCACATAGCACCCAGAGCGGAGCCAGAGCCACACACCGTGGGGTGCCGACGTGGTTGGTTGGTCAGGCTGTCAACAGCATGGGTGCCGGGCCAGAGACTGCTTCCTGGCTTCCTTTTATTTTGAAATGAGAATGTATGCTGGGATTGCCCATTGAACATTGCTAGTCAAACAAAATGTGAAACAATAAATGGGCACGTTTGCATACCAACAATAACAGATTCTTTAAGACACTTATGAAAGGCAAATATCTGTAAATGGGTTTTTAACTTCCCTGGGATGTTAAAGTGGATGGAGTAGCTGACCTTCAGAGGTAGTAGAAAGGTGAAGTGGAAGGATGTGGCTAAGGACTGGCCGTTGGAGAGTTTAGAGGGAACAGCCTTGAAGAGGTGGGATAAGAAGCAGGGATGGGGAGGCAGGTAGAGCAGCAGTCGGAAGGAGGCCTGGGACTTCAGAAGTTTCTTTGTTCTCACCTTCCTTCTTTTCTTTCTTCTCCCTTTCTCTTCTCTCTCTCAACCCCTGCTTCATTTTAGTCACGTCTGAAGGAAGAGCGAACGGGTTTCTTCGAGGTTAAGAATGAGAAGGCTTTGCAGAGGTCAGACAAGAGTGGCTAGGAAAAAGGAGTAAGGCATGCAAAATGGGAGCAAGAACAACATTCATGTGCGAGAAGGAAAAGTATTGAAGTAGATGGGGTGGGAGAAGAGTAAGTTTCAGCATATCTTAGAGAGGGGATGAGTTAAACAGTAAATTACTCCCAAAAGAACAACTTGATCATCCCTTTTGTGCACAGGTTCAAAGGGCTATTTTTGCCTTGTTATTTGCGTGAATTGATACCGATTAGCAAGTAAAAAAAATGTTTCAAATCTCAGTCCTAAAATGAAAGTAATAAGTTGCTCTTACTTTTCTCAGTCCAGCAATCTGGAGGTTGAGAGAGTACTTCACACTGTGAGTAACACTGTGAAACTGTATTTGGAATTCACAGGGCTGGACATCTTGAAGCACTTGTTGAGAATGGGGGTCAAAGCATGAGAACTTTGGCTCCCCATGCAGAAGATCACAACCCCTTTTTTACTCAGTGTAAGACCGAGCCAACAGCTGTACAAACACCTGCAAAGTCTGATCTGATCTTAATGGAAGAGGGTCTTTGCTTGTGGTGTTTATTTTGTGCTTTGAGCCTGGCTCTTGTAGATTTCCATCAAAATTTCTCATCAGGTTTCAGTGTAAAATCTGTAACCTAATGAGATATTTTCAGTTGTTTTCCTTTATACCTCTTGAAATGTACTAACCCGTAATGTTTAAAAAACAGTTATGGGTCAGAGGTATTAAGGTAAGTTTCCAATCTAAGCGCACAATTGCAGGGAAATAGACAAGAGTGAAGTTCCAATCTTACAGAAAGCAGTTCTGTTTAAATATGACAAACAGTTGCCAGGATTATATAACCTAGAATTTCATATTTGTTTTAACAGCTAGGTGAAAAGGAGTGTGTTAAGATTAGAGTTACATTAGTGATTTGAATTGTTTTTTGATTCAAACTAGATCTGACCATTACCATAGTGTATTTTTTGTCTTTTGCTTTTATGGTGCTAGTAAAGCAATTAAGACAGACATCTGATCCAAACTCTGGTTTCAGAAGTAGTTTGAGTTTCACATTCATTTATAATTTTGACTATAAAAGGCATTTTATTACACTGTTCATAAGCCTTTCGTTGGGCTTGCATCACTATCTAATATGTAGGACATCATTAAAAGTTACTAAAGTATGCTTTTTGGCTTTTGGCTTAGAAGCTCAACCATAAACAGGAAACGAACCCCAGGCACTCTGGAGTAGTTGTAGGGCACATATCCCAGTGAAACTAAACACGTGACGGAATGTTTTCTAGAAAGCTTGGTACACGCAGTGCAATCTTGTGGTGCACCAGAAGAAGTTACTGGAAAGCGAAATGTTCCTTTTAGTATCTTACATACCCTTGAGCACTGCCTGCAGTTTCCAGTGGCATGAATAAAATCATTATAATGTGAAAAGAAATGATGTGACATACCCAGCTCACAAAGAAAATCGCAGATCGCAATTAAATAGCATTGGCAGAACAGTATGTGGAAGATAGTGCCATGTCACTCCTACTTTTTTTTTTTTTTTTACATTCAAAAGCCCTTAAAACCTGGTTAGAATCACAGTGCACCAGAATTCATGATCTTCATAGCACTGTGCTATCCTAAGTTGCGAATCACTTTTTTTCTTTTTTGCTTTAGCAGTTCAAGGATAATTGCCTGCATCTTACGTTTTGCATCTTACATTTCTCAAGGGTCAGTCCCAAGGCTGGCAACAGGGTTATGGGAACGGTTTGAAGAGGCACATTTCTGTCCCATTTTAAAGAAAAGAAAAAAAGGCAGGGTGTTTGGCAGGCATTCAAATGAGACATGTCACAGAATATGCACAATGTAACTGTTGCTGTGGTCACTGGCAGAGACAGTTCTTTTAGCAATGAGAGGGAGCAGGAGAGTGTACTGTGAGACAAATGCAAGGATGGAAACTAATATTTAAATACAAACCAGTTAGTTTGGGGTATATTTTGGGTTTTCTTTTGTGTTTTGGGGTTTTTTGTCTTTTTTTTTTTTTCCCCCAAGTAAAGCCACAATTAATTATTTACAATTCTGTTCCCATAGGGATACTTGGTGGGAAGTTCTTGGAAAGAGGTCGCATTAAGAAGCCTGGGCAGGAGCTCTTTAAGAGTGAGCCATCTGAATACTTCAAGGCTCAGGATCTGTTTGTCGGAGCCAGAGTTTGTTTCCATGGTCACAACTTCCTTTTGGTGGATGCTGATGAGTACACATTCAACTACATGGAGAAGCATGCAAATGAGGTGAAGCAGCCTCGTGTTATTTTCTATTATCTGTAAGGACTGTACGTTATCTGTATGTTTTTCAGAATGATTTATACCTAGTTTCTTCACCCAAAGTTCACAACCCTGTGCTCTCTGTCTAGCAGTGGGCTTAGGAGATGTTAGCTAGGGAGTGCATGCAAGCCTGGCCATGCTTTACTGTCCACTCCCCTTCTACTTTCTCAGCATCCAATCTTATTGTATTAGGGGTTGTTAGAAGTTATATCCCTGCCTATTCCTTCTTGAGACCGTTTATGGACCTCTGGTCCCTGAATTGATCTAACCCTTGTTGAACCTACAGATACTGTCTGCTTCCACAGCTTTCAGTGGCAGCAGGTTGAAAAGTTCACTGCCTACTATCTAAAAAAATATGTGATAAATAAAGTAAGTGTCTTTTAGCTGGTTTAAACCAACCTCCCACTAGTTTCAATGCCAGTTCTAGTGTTCTGGGGCTTTGGTGAAGATCACCAGTCACCTTATGCACCACCTTCATAATTCTGTGAATCTCAGACGTTCTTCTCCCTCAGCCTAGTCCTATCCAGTTAAGAGTCTCACCCTTTTTAGTCTGTCCTGGCAAGGCAACTGTGAGATGTGGAGACTGGAATAGCATACAGTACTCAAGATGTGGGCACATCTGATTTAGAGTCCTACTGATGAGTCCATTTTATTCCCTGATTTGATTTTTTGGGTTCATACATATTTATCTGCCAAAACGTTTCCCTTGTAATATTAGAAATTCATATCACGGTCAGGAATTCAAGCTTATAGTTTGTACTGAGTTTCACTGTCTTTTGGTGTTGCCTTCAAAGGGGAGAGCAACAATAAATAGAGAGCTGTGGTGCCTCTGCTGATGTATACTGCACGCTACCAATCATTACACAAATGGCTGGTAAAGAAGCCCTAATTCACCAGAGCCAGAAATGTATCCGATAGGAGGAAATTGGTTGTCCTATAGCAGATGTCAAGGAGGTGAAAAAAAGAAAAGAAACAGGGATGGAGAACCACAGAAGAATCACAGAGCGTTTTGTGGGGTTTTATGTTGGTTTGGTATGAAATGTAAATGCCTTTTTTTTTTTTTTACAATGAAGTTTGTGCTGCAGTGTTTGACTACATGTACCCTGGTATGCTTGGAAATTCCCGTTATATGCAGCTCTGACCCAGTCACTCTGAGACGCATCTTAAGAATGCATCAGCTCAGGAGCCAAGGCATTTCTGCATCCCAGTCCCTCTTCTGGATTGTTGCTTCGTCACAGTGTGATCTCGAACATCAGCCTTTGGACTAGACCATGCTGTGAGGGCTTTGGGGTAGCGCGCCTGCTTCATAGCTCATGGCAGGGTGGCAGCATGGACTGTGCCTTCAGCAGACTTTCTCCAGAGCTGCCCTTTTGCGTAGGCTTGTGGAGAGTACCCCTAGGGAAAAAAAACAGGAGGGTTTATCAGTGGTCCTCTGCCTGTTGGTCCAGACCTTTTCTGGATGGAGAAGGGAGAAGGTTCTTAGTGCAAGTTTTAATTGTTCCCTGTCTGCTGGCTCACCAAAGTGAGCGAACCTGCAGGAGTCCCAAGATGCCAGTAAGTCTAGTGCAGTCTTGGGGACTGCAAGTCTTGATGCCATTGTGCTGCTGAAGCAGAGGTAGTTGCAGCCTGACCCTGTGCTGCCTTTGGACTGCACGTGCTGTTCTCAAATGAAAACAGCAGAACGGTGTGATTTCTTGGTAAATTAACGTGGAGTTTGCACCCCCTGCCTTCCCTGGAATAACGAGGAAGGTCTGCAGAACATTTGTTGGTGTAAAGTGCTGTGACTGCTAAATGCTTTAAGCAGTAAAATACAAAGCTATGTACATTATATTTCTTACTGCTGGGCTGTTTCTCCTCTTAGTAGAATCAAAAGCAAAGCTATTTTCCAAAACGCAGAGTGCATCATTAGATTGTAAATGTTCTTTAGAACTGCTGTTTGCATGAATTATCCTGCATCCAACAAGATCTGAATGATTGCGTATTATCAGAATAAAACCTGCAAAATGGGAAGAAGCAACACTAAAAAGACTTCTTTTAAGTGAATTTTGAAATGTTCTTTGCACAGTTAAGATTTCAAAACAGCTGATAGGAAAAAGGGTTTATTCTCCCAATGGTAGATGCTTTGTTCACATCCTTTGAATACAGCTCCGAAAGTAAGGACACACCTTCTTTGCCTCAGTTCATCAGGGGATTGCCTACTCAAAGCACAAGAACTTCAGCAGTTATTAGAGAAGAACAGAGCTGGAAGATCATTTGAAGAAGGGGAAACAATTTTAAGATTACTGTTTGTCAGTTATTTCTAAAATTAGAAAATAAATAATTTTCCTTCTCAATAGATGGAGATTTTGTTTCAGCAGAACACAACTGTATTTTTTCTGAACACTGGTGAAAGAAACCCAGATGGAATATTGTTTCTTCTGAAAAATGCCATTTTGACCACATTTCTATACACAGATGTTGATTTAGATGAAATTTTGATTGGTAATCAGTGTGTGTGGGAATTGATTTTGCTACTATTCAAGCATTTGTTTGACACCATATGACATATTTCGAAAGTTTTGATTTTCTGTTTCAAAATTGTATTTGTTGTTTTTAAGTTACAGAGAGAGAAAAATCGAGTCGTGTCATTTTGATTGCCACCTGTACTGAAAGTAACTTTAAGGATCAAATCCTTGAAACTTTTCAGTGTTTTTAGTTTCTTTTCCAATTTGAGGAAAAAAGATGTATTTAGAAAGTGTAAATTTGCTTGCAAAACACAACATGTATGTTGTGCACAGTCCTATCAGTATTACCCAGTTTGAGGAGGACTCTTTCAAACAGGGCATCACTGTGCCTCCTTGGAAATGAATTAATCATCTCTGATACAATCTCAATTGTTCAAACTTTGCAGTCTTCTGCAGCACAAATGTGGAGGTTGATTTTACTTGCACTGAATTCGACATAATAACCTCTGGCTTAAGCAGGACAATCAAACAAAACTAGATTGTGACTGCTAGCATGTCAGCAATTACATGAGAAGGGAGGAAGGTGGGTAAAGAGTTATTACGGTGCTACTCAGATACTCTGTGTCTATGTAGGTGTTTGAAATATGTAGTTTAGAAAAAAATTGTAAAAATAACTGCTTTGATAATGTAACGAAGACAGGTTTTTAAATAGACAGAACACTTTGTCCATCTCTAAATACTCTGCTCATTGGTTCTGTCTGCCCAGTCTTTTCTCAGTGTCTGTTCCTTGCTTTTTCAGCAAAAAGCTGTGCGCTTACAGCCCGAACAATTAACAGCTTGGGGAGGCGACCAAAAAAGTTGCTGTCTCTAAAACAGTTTGGTCACTGGTCCAGCTGCTCCACACTACCGCCTTGCGTGGCGTTGCATGCCAGGCTTGTACCTGGAGTTTTGGCATAGGCAGCCATTGTCTTCTCTCAATCTGAGTGTGTTACCTGCAACCACTGATGTATTAATTAAACTTGGATCAATTTGTACTGCTCTGGCAGTGCCGCAGGGACTTTAAATACCCTTTTCTAGATCCCTTTGAACTGGCACAAAGCTGTAGACAGACTTTAGCATAATCGGGAGGGAATCCCAGTCTCTGTTGTGAGTAGGTGCTTGCTACCAGTCATACCAAATTTCAAGTAATTGCTAGTTAAACCAACATTGCTTACTGGAAGAAATGGGAGAAAACTATTTTTAAACAGTTCGTTGTGCTTTATAAGTTAGGCAGAGCATGACAGATGTAAGGCCATATCAGATATTCATTCTTGAACTCAACCCCAATTTAATACTAAATACATAGATGGTTTATGTATTTAATAAAAATGAGTATAGCAAATAAATCTTTGGTAGAGCTCCAGCACCACGATCTGAATATGGGCTGGAAGACTTAGCACTCCAGTTTATTTTAATAGCCTATTTAGGAAGAAATAAGCATTATTTGTACATGACAGGAAAGAACGGTTCCTAACAAATTTCCAATTTGCTAATTTTGAGTATGTAAGGCAACACAGTCTAATAGCAGTATCTGTTGGAACAGTTCATGGGAGCCAATGGTGAAAAGATTAGTTTTAACTTGGTGAAATTTATTAATTGAGAATTAAGTGAGCATCAACATAAAATGAGGACCAGGTTATTAGACCTGTACTTTAAATCTTTCTACTTCTGCTTTAACGATACAGTGTTTGAAGCAAAAGTGGATGTCCTTTTATGTAGCTGGAATAAGCTTTCTGATAGTGCATGATCTGATGATTTTTGTTTAATTTTTTATATTCTCAATAGGAAGCAAGTTTTTTCAGCAGTAAGCTTCCCTCCAAACTTAACACAGTGCTGATATATGCATTTGAAGTGAGACCATGAAGAAGCTAGTAATACTTAGCAGTTCAGCATTGCCTGCTGCATCTTGACAGCTCTTGCTGGTACATGTACAGTTGGTTGCATAGTACTTTTCTCTCTAATCTATGTCTTGCTTTCCTCTGTTAAGTTTTCCGTGGCTGATATTGGAGTTATCCTCAAGAAACTGAAAGACATAGCTGAACCTCGTTCCCGAGAAATCAGACAGATGTTTTCAGCCACCGACCCTGAGCATACCGAGATGATCGGGTATAACCCTTTCAGGTAAGACAGTGGATTTTGGTTTTTAATATTGAATGAAGGCACGTTCCCCAAAAATGTATAGATCATGACTGTTTCTTGATGCTTTCTGCACGGGTTAGCTGACAAATGACGTATATTTGTTTTGCGTTTACTAGGAGACTGTGTGTGAAAAAGAAAGTGAATCCATGCCCCAGAAAAAAAAAAAGAAATGTGATAGTTTCAAGTAAGCTGAAAAGCACAACTAAAATCTGTCTACTTTTTATGGAGCTGGCACACAGGGTGTTGTGAAGAAGGGCAAGTCAGGAGTAATAAATATGCTGAAAGATAAAGAAAAGTCTATCTTAAGAGTCAAACAAATTAATTAGTAGTTTTGAAATTCAAGAAGGAATGTTTGAGTTGCCGACTGAAAAAGGTATTATTTGGGTTTTTGAATTATTGATAAAGAAGAGACTCTTCATGGAATCAAGGTATATTGAAGTTACAGAATGCAGTGGTAAGCATCTTTAAAAAAGACTGGAAAGCAATAGCGAGAGCAATAATTAGTGCTTGGATAGTAATTTCAGCATAGATAGGGGGAGCAGAAATCTGGATTCTGGCAATGATCCAGACATGGCCATGGGCAAATGTATAGATACTTGAAAGAGGAAATCATGCTCAAATGCAAGCTGATTTCAGTTTATCCCGCAGCCAGAATACTTGAGCATATGAGCTGTGATGGATACTGGTAAAGTTAATGATGTGGAACAGAGGAGGAAATTTTACCTAGAAGCATTTAGTTTTCACAGTGGTAATACACTGTGTATTTAGGAACTGTTATAATGACTAAAGCTTATAAGTAGAGGCATATTGCGTGGAATGCCATCCGTATAGGAATGTTAACCAAGGCAGAAATTGCTTCTGAAATAGCTCAGAAGAGATACAGATCAGCAGAAGGTTCTTCCAGCAATTCAAGTGAAAGTAGTGAGAGATGAAAACAAGCTCGTGTTTAGAAATGAAAAATAAGTGATTAAAAGGTAGAATATAAACTAAGAGAGGCCACAGTTATTGGCAGCTTTTGGTAAAAATATTTCTAGATTCAGATATTTTGCTCAACAGAAGCAAGATTTTGAATTGTTAATTGCATTAAGAGGGAAAATGTTATTTCTAGGGTAAGAAGGGAAGAAAATTGAAAGTTAAGGTACATCTGGAGAAACTTTGTAGCACTTGGAAAAGGGTTTTAATTTAATGCACAATAACTTTAAAATGAAATAATTATGGGTTTAATTCAAATTATGCAATAATCATCTGCAAAACTTTATCTTACATGCACTAAGAGCAGGTCAGAGTTTCAGAACATTTGCGTGGTGAAATTGGTGGAGCACATTTTCAGAAGGGATGATTGTGGTTTTAAACACCAGGGAAAGATTTTTATTTTGTCAAGAAGAGGCTCAGTTGAGTGTAAATTTAATCACAGTCATATTCTGTGCAGCAGTGAACAGCCCAGCTGTTTAATTTGGGGTAGTGCTGTTCTGTGGCACGGCGTAAGGTATGTCTAGTTATATGGTATTGAGGCACTTGGTTTCAGCAACAAGAATGCAGTAGCCCTCTCCATGAGCAAGAGAGAAAGCAGGGGAACCCACGTAATGAAAGTTTTCTTGGCCTCAGTGCTCACCTGAGCCAGTCTGAGCACCTACTAATGGTCGACATCCCTCCTGTGGTGGGATTGCAGGGAGTCTAACAGGAAGCATTCACACTGCCAGAGGAAGAATTTGCCTCTAAAGAACATTTAACTTTTATGCTTTATAGTGCTGGTAGGTTTTGTTTCTATTCATTCATGTTATAGCCAGTAATCTAGAGGCTCTCTACTTTTTATTATCCATGTATCTTATTTTAGAATGGAAGAAACATTTTTGATGATGAAGACATCAAAAGCACTTCTTTGCATCTATGAAAAGTCAAAGATATTTTTCTATGAATAGAGTATGTATTTTTCTTTCAAATTTGTATTTTCTTGTGTACATCACTGTTTATTTTTAATCTGGCATGGCATTTCATGATTATAACTAACTACAAATGATTATTTTTAGTCCAGGCAATTATCTGTGTGACAGCTTCAACCAGCATGATAATCCTCTTTTCTTATCTTAAATACGGCTAAAGCTTTACTGTGCTCTGAATTTGACTGTTCAGATTTCTTCCTTTCTACCTATGTAATTTTATATGAGCTGCATTTAAAAATACACCTGTAAGTATGATGTAGCGAAGCAGAATTGTAATCATACAATTTACTTTAACTACTTTCAGAACCCAAATCTATGGCACATCATGCAGGAAATAAAAACGTGGCGTACACTGAAGCTATGCCCTAAGCTATTGTTAAAACTCTTGAAAGCTTTTTTAAAAAGAGAAGAAAAAAATAGCGAAAACTTAGATGCCTGTGCATCACATGGTCCTATCCAGACTGCTTTTTCTTGTAAGCTACTGGCAAGACCATTTGCTGTTAGAGACAAAGAACCGTGTGGGTTTAACAAAGATGCATATCTGCAATTCAGCTTGAGAAACAGCTCTCAAGCTGTTAATTATTTCTTCTTTCTCTACCAAATTCAGATTGCAATCTGTCTTATTCTTCTAGAACAACAACAACAACAACAACAAAAAGTAAAACAGAAGATAACTAAGCTGTGGTAACAATTGTTGCAGCTTGTTTCTTCTTGTCAGGAAGAATTTAGATGTAATTGTGTTTGTAAGCCTTGGGTCTCACTCATTAGTCCCTAGCAATCACTAAAATATTCCTTAATTCCCAAATGAGACAATAATTTTATCTGGGGGTTTTGGTGACTTGATTGTGACTGACTGGCTTGAGAAAATAAAAGACCTTTAAAATCCTGACACTGGAAAAATCTGTGCCATGTATGGAAATCCAATCTGTGGAAATATTCAGATGGGTGATGTTATCTACATGCTTTCAGCTTTGCCAGCCCAAGCATTTAGAGTGCCAGGCTTATCAGGCAGTATTGTCCTCTTCTTTGTGTTTGCGGTAGTATTGCTGCAGGCTCCAGGAAAGAGACTTCAGTTTTGACTGGATCTCTGAATGCTGGTACAATATAAATAATAATATTCATTAAGTGGAATAATAATACTGACAAGATAATGATAATATTAATAGATGGACCAAGTTTTGGTCATTGAGTTTGCATAATCTCAAATAAGGTTTGCTACTGTCAACAACTTGTCTTCTCCTTATATTTATCTCCTGCCACTGCAAATAAAGGATCTTTCTAATTTATTAAATATGAAAAAAGCAGCAGCTGAATCCAAGGATACACTGTATGGTCTTTAGCATCCTTTTTTTGAATAGCTATGTAAGTGCAATCTTATTCTATGAAGAGATAGCTTCTTTTGAACAGGACCGCACAAGCCTCTGAGAGGAAGCGAGTGAAAAATTATGTTTGTGGATAAAATTTTGCAATTTGGAAGGGTACTAAGTTTCTGTGCTTTCAGTTCACAGGTGAATGTTAAGAGACCCATTATCAGATTGATTCAAGAATTTAACTATTCTCCAGCCAGCAGTTTGAGTCTTGTGTCAGAACTTTGTGCGTCACTAATAATTTCTTCCATTTGTTTTCAGAGATTGGTATATAATCACAGCGATGCAGTACCCTCAAGGGTACCACAAGGTACAGCTGTAATTGCATCAGCAATTATAGTGAAGTTTATTCTTAGTGCAGTTTATCCAGAAGTATTATATGTAATTAATCTAATTTTGACTGAGGCACATAGGCCTACGTTGATACTTGCCTTTAAAAAAAATCCTGTTGAGCATGAGTCCACCAGGGGCAGACGTTTGGGATCATAATGCCAATGTAGTTACACTAAGCCATGTTTGACAAGAGGCCTTGTAACGGCTGAGGTAACCTACAGTTCAGGCCATTTTTTTCCGGGAGAGCAGGAAGCCTCCTAGGTTTCCTTGCATACCTCTCTGGTCGTTTTCTTCCCTTACGTTGTGTCAACATCCAGGACACATGAAGAACTGTGTAATCATTGAAGGCAACAAACCCCCTACTGCAAAGACAGTAGTCTTTAAAATTAGTCCTTCTCCTCCCCTCCACCAACAATATAAAGCAGAGGGAGATTTTTCTGAACTGTAATTACTAGTCCTGGTTCTTAAGCTCCAAAGCTTGTGTCCGTTTGCTGCTATACTACAAGTGCCTTCAGGAGCTTACCCAGAAGTCAGTCCAGCTCTATTATCAGCAACTAATTCTTGATATTAACAGGAATAACTAGTCATTCAGTGCCAGCACTGGCCCATCAGATGGATCTCAGGAAAATTTCTTCTTCCTTGGATTGCGCTGATTTGTCTGAGTAGCACAAGCAATCTTGGGAGAGTGCATCTCAGGCTCTTCCCTGCTTGGGATCTGGTTCTCCGCTGACAGTGTCCGGGCATAAATTGGTCTTGCTACTGCTTCCTGTCTTCCATTCGTGCCAGGAGGGTTTTTGGTTAAAAATGGTGTAATTTTCTGCCCTCTCTCTGTGACCAATTTCTGTTTCCCTCTCCCCAGCTTTCCCCTGAAAGCTACCCATCAGGGCCAGCTTTCACAATGCTTTGTGAAGTGTGGCTTGACACTTGATTAATATTCTGTTCTTTGTTGGGATCTTCTGCCCCACTTCTCCTCTGCTGTTGTTAATTCTCTCTGTTTTACAAGTGTTATTGTGCATGCTTTGTGTTTACAGACAATTAATCATGTGCTGCAGAATGTAAAATATAATTAGGAACAAAACGGGGTAGTACCTTGTAATTTACTATCTTGTTGGATAAATGCAGTGACAAAATTAATCTCTGCTAATATTCCATGCCAGTAGGGCATCTCTGGTAAAAGGCTTCAGCCATGATTATTATGTATTTTTATATGTATAGCCAACTACTGAGGAAATGTGGACTGCAAAAGTTTAAGGGTTCAGGTAATTTCCATTATACCTCCTTGAACGGATCTGGATTTCAAATTTAAACAGATACATTCTTTAAAGATCTAAGTACAGCATTTTATAATGAGTGCGCTTTAATCCTCCCTCCCACCCAAAATTTAGTGATTATTAGCTGGTTTAAAATCCTTTACTTGAAACTAATGTAGACTGGTTTTTTTGTGAACAGGAATTTGATAATCAGTATCACTGATGGGGCATTTTCAGAACACGAAATCGTGACTCTTGGACGCTATTACAGCGTGAGAGATGAATATGAAATGGCCCCCCACTTCCTCCTTGCAGTGGCTCAAGAACAACTAAAGAAAAACAGCTTTGAGAATTTTGAACAACTGTCTGCGGTACTTATATACAATGACCGTGAAAAGTAAGTTTCTTCTGTTTATCCTAAGCTGTTATTTGGGAAGCTCTGCTTGCAGACCTACCTGCTTTCTGTTTGTTGCTGAGCAAATGATATATTGCAGCCAAAGAATATTATTTGTAACATCGAGCCTCTCTCAGCACTTGACAGTGGGCAAGAAAAGGATAGCCTTTTTGTCTCTTTTTCATTTTGTTTGTGGACTTTTTATTATAGCTGCTGCACTGAACATTCTGCAACATAATCAGATGCCCCTTCACAAGCAAAACATGGTATTTTAAATCAGAGGAAAAAACAGTGATTTAAGGGAAAAAAGAAAGGATTTGTAGCTGATTCTTTGTATGACTTATTTGCCTTTTTTTGTTCTGTGATGTCACAGACAAAGAATCACAGAGAATCACTAAGGACCTCAGCATAGGGGAGACAGGCCACCATGCTCACTTCAAGTTTGTCAGCTTTGTAGTAGCGAAATTTCATAAAACCTTGTTTTCTTTACCTCTACACTGATCTTCCTGGAGTGTTTTACTGTTCCCAGTGACATTCACCTGAAGCAAATCTGGAAAATACCTAATGTACACTTCTCCCCTCCCTTTCTGTTTGTGTAGATGTGGAGTGCTGCCCCACGAGATGTGCAGGACTGTTTGCAAGTCCTTTAAGTTGCCTCTGGCTGATGATGATCTGCAAGCTTTACTGACCATGTAAGTTAAGGGCAGATAGCATGACCTTCATACACGGGTGCAAATCAATGCTAAGTATCTACTGCAGACCCAGCTCTTAAGAATTTGTCATTTATATAATATTAATCATTTCACGATGCTAACTTTGTCCCTATACACATGTAGACTTTTCTATTCATAGAATATTTATAATCAAATGAGGTGCATCTGTCTTAGCAACTTCTCTTCATTTTGTCTGGGTTTTGCCAGAATTCTATGGAATTAGTCCTATGGGAATCAGCTACTGACATTTCTCATTATCAGTGAAATTCACTTTTTTTGTATTAGTTGTTCCTGTGCATATATAAGGTAAAACCAGTAATTTTATGAAAGCATATTATGTGAGTTTTAAGAAAGATACCATGATGAATAAAATGATATGTCCTTGAATCAAGTAGGCAGCATCAGTAGTAAATAAAAGCGGTTTGCTACTCCTATTAATCTTACCTGAAACATAGTTTATTATAATTTTTGAAAAGGAAGAGAAGTGTTGGCATGGTTTAGGTATTTTTCCATAGCACATTTAATCATTTTGAAACAAATTACTTGGCTAGCTGTATTAATGGGAATAGAAGTGAGAAGAGCTAGTATTAAGTGCACTTGTGTTAAAGGCTAGAGTTCAGAGTAACCTGTGGTGTTTTGAACACTCATGTCATGTTGAGTTTGGTTTTCACGGCCAGATTTTCTGGTAATAGGTTTAAATGCATGCTCATTGGTCTTTTCTTTCCCTTGTGGGAAATCCTTATGTTTCGTCTGTGCCTTCATACTGCGTTAAAAGCAGGAGCAGGTCTTGTCTTCTGTCATTTTTAGATGCTTTCAGGTAGATACGCTTCTTGGTTTCAGAAGGCATTGCAAACTAAGCATCTGGATTTAACAAACTCTTGTCAGGCAGAAATGTGGAATCCATTTTAATAAAGCATCTTCGTACTGCAAGCAAGACTTGCTACTTAAATCAGTATCAACAAGACGCTTTAAGAAGCCTAAGGGGGCTACTTTTCACAAAGCCCCCGTTTCCAGACCAAAAACTTTCAGAATAGTTCCCGGCAGTAGCCAGATAGACAACTTTGGCAATTTGTTTGCCGTTCATGACTTCTGGCGGTTAGATTACAAGCGTTAGTCATCAGAAGCATGTCTGAATTTTAGCATTAATCTAAAACTCATTTTTTAGAACTCCTGCTAAGCTGCCAAACACAAAAAGTGTTGAAGGACAGTTGACATCCTGTGTTAGACAAGGGGTTCTCATGTTTTCCACTTCATAAAGGCTGAAATTGAATAGATGCACAGACAAGGGACTGGAGGTTTTCCTTTTTGTACTAACTCAATGCTGATGAAAAACAGACAAGTCTGACACATCATAGGCTCCAGAGGTGTGTTTATTTGTGAATTTATACCACGGTTTTGTGAGATGAACCTCTTCTCTCATGAAGAGTTTCAGTGTAGGCGGTTAAAAAGAAAAAGCCCAGTATATTATAATAAAAATTAGAGATAAGCTTAGAAGTGAAGGGTGAGACTAAGGGCAGGATTTCACCCAGATTTAACCAGGTGCCTGTGACAGCTGAATTAGGATTCAGCCACTGTAGGTTCTTTCTGTAGGCGATGGAGAAGGAGAGAGTCACCTCCTCAGCCTGTATAAGAGCTGGATTTCTAAATTACCCTCCATTTTCCTTTGTTCCTGAAGGGGCTGTGGCCAGCCTGTATTGCAGATTTCTGTGTGAAAAAGGTAAATGGCGTGAAGCTGGGCCTCAGAAAACAGTGTGAGAAGCACTTCATATGATGGGGTGCCATGTGTAATGCCGGTTGTAAGTTACAGTATCAGCTGCATTGAAAGGTGGCAGTTTGTGTGGTGAGTCACTGCACTGCAGGTAAGAAGGAAGATTGTTACATTCTTAATAATGTGTGCAGTTGGCACTGCTTGGTAAGTTTATTGTTTCATGAGGGTGCAGAGTCAGGGAAAGATGTTTTTGAAGTCTATTTAATAGGAGTTAGTTTCCGGTAATCTGGACATCAAGGAGTAGAGTTGGCTGGATGAGATTTAGACTTTTCCTTTCCTCTTGCTTCCTGTAGTTTTCTTTGAGACTGACGAATCATGAAACAGGCAGGTTTATTGTTAATGAAGAACAGTCTCACTCCTGGGGAGTATGCAATTCAGTGTGGGCAAAGTTTGTCAACAATAGTCTTTCCCTGATGTTTTTTGGATGAGGAAGCATGTGATTTTGTGTCCATTGATGTTTCTGAAGCAAGTGGTGGTGATGTTCCTACTGTGTGTGTCTGTATTTATAAAGGAAGAAAATGGTATGATAAAAGTTGTTGGATTGATTCCCACAAAGTCAGTATATGTGGCTAATGCACCAGCTGGACCCTATTCAGCTATAAAATGATGCTAGGCAATGTGATCAGATAATAGTTGAAGACTGGAGCTATATGTTTATTCAGCTTTGCTATCTGAGATTAGGTGGCAAAGACTTTCTGTAAGACTTAATGGTTCTATTTTTCCATTTTGAAAGGTAATACTCTTAAAGTATTTATTATTTACATTTGTAAATTATACTGCAATGATCTGTCACTTATTAATAAAAGCACAGGATGGGGCTAGAAGTTACTGTCTAATTTTCTGGTCACCTCCAGATGACCCAAAACTTTGTTTACTGTACCCAAAGACCATTCAGTTTCCACAGAGTGTAGGGAGTATTAGCACAAAGACTAAGGTTTCATAAGAGGCTTTCATATTGTCTGTCTAGACTAAACGTATATTTTTAATTGTGAGATGGTGAAATAGTAGGATTTAGGTACCCAACAATGTGTCCATTTTTTCCAGTTTACCTGAGCTGCCTTGTTAAAAAGTATTTCATTTCTCCATCAGCATTTTCTCACTTTTCGTTTTTTAATCAGAGAACAATACAGACTTTTAATCACAATGTATTAAGCAATGCAGATGGTACACAATTGTTTCTGCCAGAAGGCTATGGTAGTCATTATAAACATGTCTTTAAATTTATGTAGGCATAATGAACAATTATAGGTTTTTTAATAAATAAATGTTGCTAAGTGCTTAAGTAATGAATTTAGGGTTTTTTTTCTGTAATTTTTATTTACTGCAATGCTAAATGTATGTTAACAAGGACTTAAAAAGATGCAGTCCTTTCTCAGAGGGTGTATAAACAGCTGGCAGATAAGGAAAGAAAAAATGAAGGGAAGAAAGAACGGATGACAAGTTCACAAGTATTACACGTTGATTGTTCCGCGTTAGTTTAGTTGTTAAGTGTATGTCCCTGGTTTTTAAAATGTGTCTTTTAATTTCTGTAAAAAGCGGCTGTGTATTTCTTCACCTCTCCACAGTGCCAGGGTGAGTCTGTTGGACTCTGCAGGGGGGCTTGTGGTTTTGAAGAAGTTAGTCCCTAGTGTCTCGGGTAGCAGTGCCTGATAACAACGAGCCTCCTACATGGTCATCCCAGTTCCCGAGTCACTAATAGGCCAGGCCAGGCCACTCCTGCCTGCGCAGTTTTTCCCTGATTTGTGGCAGGATATTTTTTTACCTAGTTGCCTACCTGTAATTTTTTTTTAGGGCCGACCTGTTTCTTTCAGGAAGCAAACCCTCTTGTCCTGCTACAGCGAGTGTCCTGGTAGCAGGAGCAAGGTTGGAAATGGTCACAAGAGCTTTCTCCTGCACTCTGTCTTCCGCTCGTTACCTTTCATGCCTGCAACTCCCTGTACCATTTGTGCTGAAAAGACTCTCTAGCATTACTGTTTTGTTCTGTTAAAAGAAACTATTTTTGTTGTTCAACTTGCTGAGGAACTGATGGTTCAATTTATAGTTGTTCAAGATGTGAATAAATGCATACACAAGATGGTAGCCGTTACTTAATTCATACTGAACAGCTGCATAGACTTGTCTGTGCTTGCTGGTTTAAGTCTTTTCATATGAGCAGTTTATGACAATTTACACATTACACAGAGACCATCAAACTGGCTGAAGAATCCCAAAATTTTATCTAAGATTAAAGCAGCATGATGCTTCTCCTCTATTATTATCAGATTAACTTCTTAATAACTGTGATTAAAAACTAAGGAATTAGAAAAACCACTGCATGTATATTAACTTTTCACATAAATGTTTGGTTTACAGATTTCTTGATGGGAAAGAAAAATATTACTAAGTAGTCTTTACTCACCAAATCAACTCAGGAATGGTCGTAATGTGATTTAACGAGATTTGTCACATGTCTGGAGTATTTAATTATGAATATATTTTTAGAAGCAGAAATGTGCAATTATTTCTGTAATGTCAAAGGAAAAAAAAGCTCTGCAAACTAAGATAGGGATGGGGGAGTGACTTTCCTAGTCTAAGATCACATGCATTGGTGAAGTCGTAGGGCAAAAATGAAGGGAAGAATGATTTCAAGAGATCTTTGTTGCATCTTCTTGATAAGACAAATCTAATTTCCTTTCCTGAAGAGCACTGTCAGTTTCAGTCATATTAACCCCAGCCACTGAAATGTATGACATCCCTGTCCTAATAATGCACAAATTGATAACATCTTCTCAGTCCATCTGGATACTCTGTGCCAAATTGCAAAGTGTGTGCTTTTAGTAGATTGGTACAGTAAGTCACAGCAGGAAAGAGGTCTAAAGAGTAGATCTATTTATTTTTTTTTTTCCTGGATTATTTTAGAGTAATATTTTAAGCTGCTTTCTGTAGCTATTTAAATATGGGATTTTGGAATTCCATTTCCTCTGCCCATGTTAAAATCTTTGTTTATAGTTAACTTCATGCCCACGTTGTCATCTCAGTTTGCTAGTGCTGTCACATCAAAAGACTTTTCCCTCTGTTAATATTTGCTGAAAGCAGAAGCAATGCTTTCCTTGACTTCATTGCCTCAACATAAAGTTTAAGTAGTTACACACCTTCATTTGTTCTTTATTTAAAAATCCTGCTTATACACCTCTGCGTCTTGGCAGTAGACTTAATCTTTTGACTTTTGACGACAAGTCAAAGATAAATAAATACATAGTAAAATAAAAAAATAATTGTCATTATTGTTCTGAAATTCAAAATCTGTGTGCCGCAGGTTTTTTCCAAGAGGTATAAGGTTTTATATTGTCTTCTTACTTCTGATGCAAAACTCCTTTCTTCTCCCAATTGCCACCTGCAAAAAACCTGAAACAAACAAGAACACCGTAGAAGTGGGAATGATAATTTTCTTGCCTATTGGATGTATTCCCCAGAAGTAAGACTTTATGAAAATGTTAACTTGCGTGTGAGCTATTACAAAGAAGCAAGCTATCATAGGAGGGTTTTTCATGGCAATGTTTCAGGCTCCTCTTTAACATTAGTAACAGTAGCATTCTTTTCTGACTTTGCTTTCATCTGCAGCATAACTCACTGTACTTAACATTCCAGTTTATCGCTATCATCTCTGTTTACAGCTCTCAGTATATTTTATTATTATCTGTCCTGCTGACTATTAAATGAAAGGTGTGGGGGGAGGAGAAGAGGCTGAGTTGCAGTTTATTGCAGTTTATTTTTGTCACTAGATTTATTTCTCCTCTTCTCCTGTATTTTTTCCAAGTTTGTGCTGTAAATTCTCCCTTAAAGTATCTTCATGCTTAATTTTTACCAGAACCCTCTGCAGTGACTGAAGGGTTTTGAGGCCCATGTTTTGTGCAGTGCTATTTCTTTAAGAACAAGATAAAATGTTTTTCTGAAAGACTTGTTTCCTGGAGATGGTCTTGCTCCTGTGCAATAGTATTTGTCTCACCAGATTACACAGCAGAATTATTTAACCTGATGTTTCCCATCAAAGAATAGGTATTGAGTCTTGCTACTTGTGTGTGGCTCTCAGTGGACCCCAGTGAAGCACAGACACTTCCAGGGTGTGCTTATATGCCTAAACCAGGTCCCTTTTATATGTAGGTGGTGTTAGGTGAGGCAGATGTCATTCACAGAAGCTGCTAGTGCAGTATTTATAGCAGAGCAGTTAACCTGTCCATTTCAAGAACGATTTGCATGGTAGCTTCACCTTGCAGGTATCTTTCAAGCATTTGACTAGTCCCACTGAAATAACAGTGGTTCCCAAGTGTCTTAATCCCCTAAGTGTTCTGCTGAGTCGAGGATTTTGTTTCTGAAGCTGCTTCATCCAAATCAATGGCAGAAGGATGACGTGGCTTACAAATCTGCTCCCATGGGGTTTATTAGTGCAGGGTAATAATTTTAGGAATTTGAGGGAGGGAGCTAGCGTGTTACACATGTACCTGTAGACCTTAACTGGCAGTGTATATATCTTCATGCATTCAGGGGACCCTCATAACTGACACAAATATATATTTATTCCATAGAAATAAAGAACAGTGCCGTAAAACAACCACCAAATGACAAGGCTTGTGATTTTTAAGTCTGGCTGTTATTTGATAGGTCAGAGAGCTGTGTGTTTGTCAGTTGTGAATTGATCCCAAGGTGTGTGCAAACAGCATTTTTAAACGATTGCTTATTTTCAGAAAATTATTTTAGAAGCCATATAAAGCTGGTCAGTTGTGTTATAGCACATCTCGTATCATTCTACCTGTTTCTTTTCTACACAAAGGAATCATACACTGATCATCCCAACACTATGTTTATCACCCAGTGTGAGATTCTAGCATTGGAAAAGGTTGGGCAATGCTTTAAAAGTAAAATTAAATTAGTTGAAATGTAATAAACCTTAAAGAACTTCAATTCTACTATGAGAGACAATAATAAAGTGTAAGAATATGGAATAGAATGGATGATGTAGAAGTCCTGACAGTTTGGTAGTGTTTTTCTGTACTCCTGCCGGTGTTCGATAATAAAGGAGAAAAAAATTATTATGCAAAAGGTAATGTATTAATATGCTGTGGATAACATGATACAACTTTGTTAAAAGCGTCCCTTAACCTTGAGTCATCTTACGGATATTCTGCTTAGGTTTGAAGATGACCGTAAGCAAGTGGAATATAAAAAGTTTGTGGATGGGCTGAACTGGAGGAAGAATCAAATCCCTGCTTTCCAGACAATAAAGGTTCCTCTCAAGGTAAAACCAGCGTATCTGAGCAAAGGAACAGTACAGTACATTGAAAATTGTAAATTGTACATTGTAAATTGTCCATCTTTAACAGGAGTGCTTTATCCAATGGAGGCCACAACAGTTTTCATATTTGCATATTTGTGCCTGTTTTCTTCAAGTAATTAATTTTTTCTCGGAGGTCTAGAATGAAGCAGAGAAGTCAAGCAGGGATGAGGACCCTGCAGCACCCCCCGTGCCTAATAGGTGTCACATCTCTGTGACATTTTTCTAGAAGAAAAAAAAAAAGGAGGGGAAACAGGTGTGTTTGTCCATGAACAATGGGTGTGAATACCTCTTCACCCACAAATATCATTGTCGCATGTCAAACGATCTGTTCGCTTGCTGAGATAGTCAGGAAATACTTTAAACTCCACTGACACTGCAGAAAATAGCTATGTATTTTTAATCACTCCACAGAAACTTGTGCATAATACACCACATCACTGGTAGGCGTACAGCAAGAGCAGTATTGATGGATCAACTTTGTATATCTCCACCAGCCCGCTACTTAGGGTGAATAAAAATACGGCATCAACAAACTGCAGAGATTAATCTGATCTTGCCATCTTGTGCTGAATGGAACATTTTAAGATTGATGGTGCATAAGACAATTATGCTGATTTTTAAAAACTTCGTAACAGATAAATCCAAAGCCCTTCTGCCAACACGTAGTTTTGCTGTTCTGGCCTAGCCAATGTGTTGCTGTGCTTGTACAGAATGTGTTTGACTGTATTCAGACCATTTGAAACAGCATTCCTTTAAATTCAAGTTCAACAGTGACATAGTTTAAACCAGTATTCCTCAGGCACTGTGCTATTAACCTGACTCCTCTCTCTTATTCGGCTTACCAGCCCTTTCCTCTGTAGCATCTCAAACTGTCGGTGATGTCTAATGAGGGCCCAGTGCTGCTGTTTGCTCTGCTTTCCGTGGTGGTTTATTTTTCACTTTGTCATTGAGAAGAATTTTTCCATCTTGTACAGATAAAATCAAAGCCCTTCCACATGTTTTATACAGCAGTCCTGTGGTTCAAAGTGTGCATTAGGTTTTGCTCAGTGGGTATTCTTTGTTTTTACAGAAGAATTCTGTGCTTGAGTTATAACTCAGTATTTAAACAGCGACTGCTCTCAGGAGATTGTGTCAGGATAAGGGTCTTCATGAGCTTCAGTACCACAGAAGCAAAAAGAAGGTCAGAGCCTGTGCCTGGAGGATTTTTGCCTTGAAGATGGTGTTAAGCTCTGTACCAAAAAGCAAGGGTCAAAGAAGCAGAGGCACAGATACACTTGCTGTTGAATGTGTTTGACCATTTTTTTCCCCTCACAGAATGGCTCATCTGGCCATTGAGCATGACCTGATTTCTGGCAGGTGAGGGAAGGAGATGGTTCCTACAGGGTGAAGGTGGGGTGCAAGTGGCAGTGGAGCCAAGAGGCAGCCCTCACAAGTTGAAGGTGTGGAGCAAAATGTTCTTGTGAAACAACCAGGAGGTTGAAGTGGACATTTGTGGTGAAACCTATGTTCTGATCAGCATAAGGGATGAGGTTTTGTTTGGGTATGAAGAAGATGTTACCTTTGCTTGGAGGACAGCCAGTGGGAGTGGCTGGTGCCTAAGAGCCCCAGCTGAGAAAACGGTACATGGCGTTATGGGAGGAAAGTTACAGCTGAAATCAAAAAGAAAGAAAGAGCACCAATAGAAATTATAATTAGTCATCATCATGCTGTGATAATGAGTTCCTCATCAGCTCCAAAGCCTTGCTGTAAGTATCGTACTGACATATAGCACCAGTATAGTTTACTGACGATATTATTTTACTGACTTAATTATTTTCTTAGTTAGCTGCAATACCTGGGCCATCTTTGGTACAGTACAAGGATATTTCAATGAAGATCAATATGAAATAGAAAAAAATCAGAGAAAGAAGGAATTGAAGTCTTGTTCAAATTTAGAATCCAATTGTCATTCTGTTCATGGCTTACCATGAATTAACAGCAATATTTTGGAGCTACAGTACCCGTATTTGACAGATAGATTTCAGCAACAGTGTTGTGCTTGTTTAGCTGACTTTTTTCTTCTTTCTCTCTCGGTTTCTCTCACTATTTTGTGTGATTTTTGATGTTGAGTCATGGATGATTTGTGAGACTTTCAAGTGTAAGCACCTTACTGAAGAAAACACAGCATTATTTAATTTGAAAATATCTGCGAAAGGGCTAATGATAGAAAATATCTTTAATATTCCGCAAGATTGATCAAAATATGCATGTAATAATAGTAATAATAATCTTTTAAGAGGATGTGCTTTATATAGGTCCGCTTTTTCACAGATTTGTATGTGGAAATGAAACAGCTCATTCAATCTTATGTTGACCAGCTTTTAATTACTCTTGTTTTCAGTATTGTATTCTAAGATATTCTCTGGGTTACTGATTTCAGAATGAAGATGACTGGAGTGGACAACCACCATTCCTTCCTGTGAAAGGGATCAAATACTTACCTCTTCTGGAAGACCTGTTTGGCAAGGAAGACTGCCTCTGTATTAGTGTTTCAGCTCCAAAGCTTCCTTAGACAGATACTGAAAACATCCTTTGTAAAACAAAAAAAAATCAGATATAGGTTTTATTGCATTTAATTTCTTATTCCAACATAGATGTGTACTTCGTGTGTTTTTGTAACTCCTTCTAAATCAACAGTACTCTTTCATACTTATACAAGCATAATTAAAACTGTATCCTCTAATCTTTGTGTCTGGTTATAAGGAGACTTTAAAAGTATTGAGAAATCTTTGAGTCAAACAGAGCAAAATCTGACTGACCCTGCTTTATTCTGCAAATAAAAGTTGTTGCATGACCTCTTAAAATATTCCGTCGGACTATATTGGCGCAATATGATAATTCCATTCAAATTTCCTCTCTTGCTTTTTAGCTTATATCTGTGTCTTTGCTATATTCCTGTGGTGATGCTTAAGCACTGTTTGTGTCAAAATTTGTTATTTTATGGAGGAAATACTATCAAGGTTTTAGCACAGTATAAAGTTGCTCTGGTGTCAGAGATAATTATAGCCATCCAATGTAGAAGTAAATATTTTGCTGTCACGGCACGGAAGCTATCAGTTCTTGCTTTTTTTTTTTTAAAATGTGACTCAGATTAGTAGCCACCAAAGTTTACTTCAGTGAGACATGTATGAAGAGAAGGTGTTTCAGTACAATTTGCAGTAGCACTGTCCTTGCCCTTTGAAAATTTATTTGTGCTTTTCTCTTTGCTCAAAGTCACGATGACTAAATGGAGTTCCTGTAAGCATTTTTGTATCTTTTTAAGCTTATGCCAGCTCAAAGGCATGATTAGATCTGAATTTACTGCACACTTTTGTGAGAGAAGTAATGACTCCAGTTTAAAGAATAGAAGAGCTAAGGTGAAGGGGGGAGCTGACTCATCCGTGGAGATTCCACAGGGGAAGGGAAAGAAGTCTGAGCCAGCACAGCTCTGCTGGTGGCTGGGAAACTCACACATTCAGTAGATTGAGAACCCTGCACTTATTTGTAATCTGAAATTATAATTCAGGGAGAAAAAGTGTTTGATTTAGAAGGATGAGAATTCAAAATGTCTAAATCCCCAAACTGAGGGAAAGACAGTAGTTCAAAGAGTAACAATTAATTAAGTCTGTATCTTTTTGGAAACTTGGATATCCCTTTTAGAATTATGATTCCATTTAGAAATACCTTTCTGCACTTTTGCGTGATAGTGTAAGTGAAATTTTTAATTCCATGTCTTCTCTCTAGCCCCCCTGGCTACTGAGAAGAATTTCTTTTCCCTCCATATGGCAGAATATGAAGCTTTTGGCAGGTTTTTACCTTTTTTCTAAGCAAAAAAGGACTTGAGTGAAGGCACAATTATGTGTGTTGCTGCTACTTAGGAAGAGGTTTGCAATAAAATGGGTAAGTGATGGTCTGTGTCCAGGGGGTTCAAAGAGAAAACTGTGAAAACTTGTTAAAAGTGCTACAAGTTGTAGACAAGACTGTGTACTGCTTTTTGATCTGAAAGGAGAAAATGGTTTCTTACATGACAAGGAAAATGTCTGACCATGGGGATAGTGTCAGGAGCCAAAACCATAACAACTTGTGTTTGAAGCCAGTTTGATGAAAGCTGAAGATTTTTAAAACATGCCACCAAGACTGAGCTTGACACTTAGGGCCGTTGCCCTTGTAAATTTTTAATGTTCCCAGAGTTCAGAAGCATATGTTTCAGCTGTGGAAATCTTGTACAGCTGAGGGTTTCCAAGAAAGAGTGACTCTGAACATTTAGAACTTCCCAAGTAGCTTTTAGAGATGGGAAATTCACTGCAGTTTGTTTTCCTTTGTATATAGAACAAAAAGGAGCTGCTTTTCAGGAAAAAAAAAAAAAAAAGGAAAAAAAAAAGTACAAGAAATATAATTTCCTATAATTTCATGTGGAACCCCGTGTATAGGTCTGGTCCGTTATAGTCTGGTCTGGTCTGATCATGGTCAAGAAAAGCGACTGCAAACTGAAACCTGTGCAGAGAACTAGAAAGGTGACCGAGAGAATGGAGATAAGAAAGGAAACTAAAGGAGCTTGGCTTATTTAGTGAAATAAAATGGAGTCTCAGAGAGACTTCAGAGAGAGAGAGACTTCTCTCAGAGATTTCTGACTGCTCTCTGTAAATACATTATGGCCAGGCGAGGAAAATAATCTGTTTCAGTTAAGAACATTGGTAGTCTAAGAACAAATAGATATAATTGCCACAAATAAATTTAAACTGAACAAAAGGTGGCTTCTCACTTCTAAAATAACGAGGGTCTCAAACAGCCTTCCAAGATGAAAGTACTCAGTTTTAAGGTTGAGATGGGTCATCTGATGACAGTAATTTTAGGATGTTTATTAATACCCTTCTGAATTGTTATTCTCACTTCTTTTTCTCCTCTTTTCCCATGCACCTTGCATAACCCTGATGAGCACAAAAGTTTCTCCTAGGATCAGAGCAGACAGGACCTGAAAATATTTTCAGTGCCTGTCACTGTGCTTACAATGTGTCATATGCTGTGGTCTGATGTGTTATAAACACTTTTCACCAGTTTTTCTTTTTTACAAGCAGCAGTGCTTCCAGAAGGGAAAGCCCTAGCCAATGAGCAGTCCAATAATACTCCTTGTATAATGTGACTTACAGCATATGTTGCCCAGAATATTTCAACTTCTCCTCTAATCCTGCCACCGGCTTCTTCTCTCTTTTCACGTTGCTGATGAGGGGCCTGAATGAAGACAATACCACAAGATTATGTTTCAAGATGGCAGGAGGCCACAGCTCTAAAGCATGCATCGCATAAAGGGGAAGGCAGCCCTCACAGTTGCCATTAATCTCAGCTCTCGATCTCTGTAGGGGAGCCAAAGATATCTTCTTTCCACAAGTATCTATGCTGTCCACGGCAGGAGCGAAGAGATTCACATTACAGTACCGGCTCCCCATCTCACTGCTGGGGTCTGCTGCATGTTCAGTGCTAATTTTTATTTCCTCAACTTGGCATTTGAGAACAAGAGGCTTCAAGTTCTCCGGAATAGCTGCTGCTGCAAGCAAATGGCAGGCTGCAAAGAGGACCAGTCCTCGTGTGCAGGTGGTGCGCTGGTGAGCTCATGGCCTCGCATCAGCTTCTGCTTCTGAGCAGTTCAGGCCTGCTGTGGTCATCAGCACATGGGCCCCCTCAGACATGGTAGCCCCAGGCAGCTGTAGACAATCTGTGGACAAAACTGAAGTTCCTCACCACGCAATATTTTCCTGTGTCCTGCCTATCATACAGACATCTACTGTGTTTTTCTAGACAGCCATTCGTACTGACAGCAGACAGATGTTCATCTACGTAAATGAAAAGATGTTGAAGTCCTCCTTCTGCATTTGTCCCTTGTGTGCTGACGTGAGTTGATCCTACTTCAGTTGACTCCTATGTCTGCTCTCTCTGTCTTGTCCTTTTAGTCCAGGAGACACTGCTGTCTCCCAGAGGTGAACTTCCTGTGGGAACACTGCAAGGATCCTGATTCCACAATAACGAAAAGACTGGATGTTTTCAGTGACTTGACAGCATTCAGAGAAAAGCAGTCCATATATCACTAATAGTAATTCACTGGTCTCTTGCTTGCTGGACCCTTCTATGTGTTCCCGTGGTTCGAGACATGGAACTAATCATTAGAAGAATTTTCCAGTTTTTAACATCTGGTAGTCATATGTAAGTTATTCAGTGACATGGAGGGAAACTAGTTCTTTGAGCAATAATGTCCTATACCCTCAGTAACTTACCCAGTGCGTATTTACTCGTGGCATTTCTTCCTCCTTGAGGTGGCTTAGCCAGGAAGCCCCAGTACAATGAGAAAAACAAAACGGCAGCATGTTTGTAAAGAAGCTACTATATCAGGAGGAAAAAATACCACAATCTGAGCTCAGTCAGATTTTTAAAATTATTTTTAGGTTTTAGGGGGCAGCATAGATAACATTTGAGAGAAAACTATTTTGAAAGAAGACTTTCTAAATTACTGTTTGCTCTGAATTAATTTATTGTTGTTTGCTTAGGCTGGTGACTCAGACCCAGTCAGAAACAGCACTCATGTTTTAGGCAATGGTCAAACAAGCCAGACAGGGTGTGGGGGAAAGTCCGTGTCCCTACCGGTTTCCAAGGTAAAGTTTAAAACCAGTGAGGGAGCATAACCAAGATGAGGAAGGAAGTTAATGTAGATATAATATGTTAAGGTTGTAGATTGATTATATAAACTCTTTCTCTATTCAGTTGGTCATTTCTGAATAATTTGGAACTTTCTTCTGGTATGTATTACACTCCTCATCTGCTCTTCACCCTAGCCATCTGTCCTCTTTGCTCTCCTCTTTTGTCAGGCTAGTTTCATATTGAGACCTACAGACAAAGAGAAGTAAAGAAGATGATTCACAAACTTCTTCGAAATCTGATGCAAATCCCTGGCAAGCAGCATGGTGGGATGATCTGTAGCAGCAAAAATTCATTGTGTCACCTAACAGTACTTGAGAGAGCTCCCACTTTCAAAGGCAAATCCGCCAGAAGAATGGCGTTGTCTTGAAAGACAAGAGGAAGACTTTTTGTAGAGCTGCGGTGGCACAGGTGGGACAAAGCCTCCTCTAAACTAGCGTGAGGTTTATGGGTGAGACTTTATGTCCCTTGCCTGCAGATGTCTACAGTGCAGATGTCTGTACCTGCCCTAGCTCTCTGGATCCCTTACTTGCCAATGGAAGGGCGATGGGCACCTCTAGGGAGTGACTAACCTACAGGAATATCTGCAGGAGGCCCGCACACCGCCCCTCCCTCTGCACTGACTGTGAAGGGATTTAAAACAACTAGCTAAATGTGGGTGTTTGCATTGCTGTCGGGTGAGATGAATCCCACCCTTGGGTCCACCAGCATTGCCAGAGGAGCACTGAGCTGGTGGCTGGCTGCTCCCCACCCTTGCTGCAGGTTGCAGCCACACTGCAGTGAGCACAGTGCGTGTAGGAAGGGCTGAGCTTCAGCCGGGTGTGGGTAGTCCGGGTTGAGCTGGGCAGA